TAAATACTCTCTGATAGACTATTGTGTTCCTTTGCTCTGTTGCCGTTTCTCATGCTTTTACTTCTTTCTATTCCCTTTTTTGAGTCTATTAAGAAAGACATAAAATATTTTACCCTAAAACAAGTTGTTGTTAAATAGTGTAAAACTTTATTGGGGAAATCTTCGAAGCGATTCGGCAGATTCTTCTGAACAATCAATGAAACTAGATATATATGTAGACTTATAATAATTCATTCACATTAAGAAACAATAAATGATATATGTTGTTCAAATTAATTATATCCTGCTTAAAAGTATAAGTGTGTTTAATCAATTTGTGAATTTGGTTTATGTATGGATATGACACTTCAAGTCCATATATGCAAACTATTAGTTCATTCTCCAAAAAATGTGGAACTCTAACACCCGCCTTCACACGCCAATCCCAAGCCTAAGCTCAAGCCCAATAATAGTATGCATGAGAAGTCCAAATAAATATGACTCTTATATTATGTAAAGAAATGAAACTGCAACACCAAAAACTAGCTCCTGATGGGGAGGATTATTACTTAAGTCCATACAAGGTTCATCCTTATTTGAGCTACCGGTCCACGCTGGTTGAGCTTGAAACAAGGCGTTAGAGTGGGTTAGGTCCCACAATAATTGGGGTACGTTTGCTTATATGAATTCGAACAATCATCCTCTCGTGATCTAAATTTTGAGGTTAAGTTAGCTGACCCGAGTACCATATCCTTACATGGTATGATAGTCAAGTTCATCCCCATTTCGGCATCCCTTTGAGGGGGGATGGTGTGTTAGAGTGAGTAAGAGCCCCACATTAGTTGGGGATTGAACGGGTGATTGCTTATATGATTTGGACAATCCTTTCTTCAAGAGCTAGCTTTTGGGTTGAGTTAGGTTAATGTGCTATATATATCTTAATATTTTATATACTCTGTATAAAAACACTTATTCTATTTGGTCCTATTTGATAATTTAGGATGTACCACACATATATTTCATCAGCTGACCAGAACAAATAAAGGATTTAGTGTTCCTTCTTGCTAAGTTAGAAATGTTATGCAGGTTACATTTTTTGTATAAAAAATATTTGTGTAACAAAAATCATGATGCAATAAAAATATAGATTTTAACATGCCAAAATGAAATTTAAGAGTATATCAATGATCCTAATCTCTAATATACATAATATGATGATATGATATGATATGACATCATTTGATAGTCAGAAGATTATTACTATCAATATTTTCTTACATTTCTCCTTGTTGATTTTAAAAAATAAGCATTTCCCCTTTACCATCTGTCCTATTACACTCATATATCTATATCCTAAATAGCAAACTTGAGGGATTACTTTGTACAGGAAGTAAATAAAAGAAATTACAACATTATCTGTGTAAGTCAAATTATTTATATATGACCTTTTTTTCTCCATATAGAACCAAAAGTACTTGTGTTGAGTTGACTTGAGTTGAAATTATGTTTTGATGATTGACAAAATATAAAAGAAAGTCAAGTCCTTAGCAGGTCTAGCGGAGGAGTTAGTTTGCAGTAGTTCAAGTTACTACGATATATTTAGTGGCTACATTTCCTTTTAACGACTATAGTGATACAATACAAAGTTTGAAGTTAGGCCTTTCTTCAATGTGGTCTCCTTTCTCAAGTCTCTCGCTTCAGGCTCCCACTAAACATTTAGCGGTAATTGGGTTAACGTTATTGCATCCAACATCGTTAAAGCCTTTAGCGACATTTATATAAAGTGTTGGTTGTAGATACTCACATTTATTATTGTTACTAAATATATTATAGTAACAATTGTACTATTACTGCTAAGTCCTTTATTTGTTCTTGTGACTTGATGAAATATATGTATGGTACATCATAAATGTATCAAATTGGTTTAAATAGAAATAAGTGTTTTTATATAGAGTATATTAAATGTAAAGATATATATATAGCACATCAATCTAACTCAACCCAAAAGCTAGCACATGAAGAGAGGATTGTTCAAGTCATATAAACAACCACAAGTCCAATCCCCAACTAATGTGGGGCTCTTACTCACTATAACACATCAACCACCCTCAAATGGGAGCTCAAACGGGGATGAACTTGACTCTCATACCATGTAAAGATATGGTACTTGAGTCAGCTAACTTAACCTCAAAATCTAGATCACAAGAGGAAGATTGTTCAAATCCATATAAGCAAAACTTTTCGTTCCTCAATCACCGTGGGACTCTAACCCACTGTAACGCCCTATTTCACGCTCAACCCAACGTGGAGCGGGAGCTCAAATGAGGACGAACCTTGTATCGACTTAAGTAATAATCCTCCCCATCAGGAGCTACTTTTTGGTGTTTCAGTTTCATATCTTTACATAATATAAAGGTTATATCTATTTGGACTTCTCATACATACTATTATTGGGCTTGAGCTTGGGCTTGGGCTTGGCGTGTGAAGGCGAGTGTTACAGTTCCACATTTTTTGGAGAATGAACTAATAGTTTGCTTATATGGACTTGAAGTGTCATATCCATACATAAACCAAATTCACAAATTGATTAAACAAACTTATACTCTTAAGCAGGCTATAATTAATTTGAACAACATATATCATTTATTGTTTCTTAATGTGAATGAATTATTATATGTCCACATATATATCTAGTTTCATTGATTGTTCAGCAGAATCTGCCGAATCGCTTCGGAGATTTCCCTAATAAAGTTTTATACTATTTAACAACAACTAGTTTTAAGGTAAAACATTTTATATCTTTCTTAATACACTCAAAAAAGGGAATAGAAAGAACTAAAAGCATGAGAAACAGCAACAGAGCAGAGGAACACAATAGTCTATCAGAGAGTATTGAAATGTTGGATGCTATGGTGATGGAGATTATCTCCCGCTTGCCTTTGAGGTTTGTTTTTCAATGTAAAATTCTATCCAAGAATTTTAAAGGTATGATATCTCATCCTGAATTTTCAAAAACTTTATTCCACCGCCAAAAGGTCACTTCTTCACAACTCATCTATTTAATTTATGATGGGAGAATGCTGAGAGAATTCCCAAAAATCTCCCTAAACCCTATCACTCAATCTGTGACAACGCTATGTTATGGCGTAGAGATTTTGGCTTCATGTGATGGTTTGCTTCTCCTTGAGTTTGAGAGAATTAGGTGTTACTGCGTATTCAATCCCCTAACTGGAGAGCATCAACTGATTTCATATCCAAATTCTCCTAGACATGAGTTAAAAAAGATAGGCCTAGCGGTTGATTACCTTACTTCAAATCAATACAAATTGGTATCCATAAGTAACCTTGTGGAAAATTCCGACTTGTTCTACAAATTTCACTTGCTTTCATCAGAGCGATCTCACTTGTGGCGTGAAATCCAACTGAGAACCAATACTTTCATATCCTTACCTTACGGTCGTCCACCTATTCATTGGCACAATTCTTTGTATTTTCTTAGAAGTGACGGTAGTGTCCTAGCCCTTGATACAAAGAATGAAGAGGTTGTACTCATCGACCGTCCAGACTTTATTGATCATTATGATATTAGCTATGGGAAAATTTTGACTAGTAGGGAAATGAGTGGTAATGATATATGGCTATGGAGGGCGCAAGGTTGACTTACCCTTGTATGCGTTTTCATAAAACAAATAGTCATTGGGACTTTTGACAGAGCAAGCAGCCGTTGGGGGGTTTCCCACACTTTGGACAACTTTGTTTTAAGTCCGGATGGTGATATTATCGGTTTTCCAGTTTGGATCGACAACAAAAAAGTGTCTTTTCTGGTACAACGTCCCCCAACACAGTATCATGATCTATACGAGTATGACACCAACATCAATGGGTACAAAAATGTTGCAATCCTGGACAAAGTTGATTATATTATGTATTGCTTCCATCCAACATTAGCTTGTGTCCATAAGACGCCCTCCAATAATGTAACCATTGCTCAGCAGATGTCTATTGCAGAAAGGTTGGATGACATCAGAAGATTTATTCTCAAAGGTACCAGTTAGTTTAAGTTCAATTTTATATTTTAGTTCTTGCAATCTCCTAAATGTTGCTTAAGGTCAGGATAGCAATTCCTTTCAAATTTATGTTTAAAACAACTCAATTGAACCAAATCGATATTTTCATAGATATATTGTATGCCTTCTTTGTTTGACTTCAGTGGCATTTTATAAATTCTTGGTCTCCTTTTTTACTTTAAACAATTTTAAATTGTTTCTAATTCTTTTCAAATTTTGTATATAACTTTTTCTAGATACATAAGAAGAAGAAGTTGGAGGAGGAGGAGGAGGAGAAGAAGAAGAAACATTGTAATAGACTTGGCTTTCTTCCCTTCACTATCTTCAATCATGATTAGTTTTATTCAAACATGATTAATCAGTCATTTCTGGGAGATTGAGGGCATAGTTACATATTATAATAGACGTGATTTTCTATATGCATTTTGAATAAAAACTTCTTTTCTTTTTTTTGCAACTGTTGCACATTTGAAGTGATGAACTCCTATAAATGAAAGATTTTAGCATTACCAGGTTGATGTGTGGCGTATCTTCCATTCAAAATTTGTTTTGTCAATCAAGTATCGTCATATGTGCTATTTTTATATTTTGTTTCAAATTTTTTTTGAACAGGACTGGATTTACCTTAGTTGCATTCTTTTTATGGTAAAAAACCACAGAGTGAACAAAACTTCAGGATTACTTAGCTGGATATACTTTCATCACAGCGATGAAATCCAACTGACAACTGATTTCTATTTTTTATCCTTTTGTAATCCGCCTGCTTATTGGTGTGATCTCTTTATTGGCTTAGAAAACCATGAAAATTTTAAGGAACATTTGTCACCATGACCATTTAATCCTGCCTTATGATCACCATGACCATTTAATCCTGCCTTATGATCCCCTAAAGAGTCTGATAGAACTTTCCAAATTTATAAGTTAAAAGCTAAAAATCATGTTGATAACCCTCTGTTTGATTATAATAATTTTATTTTGATGTAATGGAAAATGGGTTATCCCATAGAAGATAAATTCTATTACATCTTCCTAAGACATATAGTCTCTTCTCTTAGAAAACTATGACATGAAATAGCCAGAGTATATAATTGTTATACAACCTGTATTATAAGGTTAGCCTAAAACGGCAGAAACGGAATAAGATGAAACAAAAAATAATTTACAAGAAGTAATTCGAGTCCACAGAAACTACTGTGCGTCCTTAATAAATTTAATCCCCTCACTGTACCTGAGGTTATGGATTAATTTCTCCCAAGATAAAATGGATTAATCCTGTTAAAGAAATAGAGGTACCTCAAATCTGCTGTATCCGCGACCTCATCAGCTTGTTCATCACATACCTCATTAATGATCAAGTCTCGCTGGCTGTGTATATTTGAAATTAGTTCCAAGCGGCATAGCATTGAT